TCATTTTGCTGTTGTTTGCATGAATCACACGCGCTAAGTGTAGATTAATTTATCACATGTGAATGCAGCTGTGTGTGTGTGCGTGTGTGTATGGTTGTGCCAAATGTTGCGCTTGCGTGCCTTTCATTCATTATCAGCAAAATTAGCTCAATGAGCGTCATAGCCGTGGTGACATAAATATATTGCACAATTCTACAACTTTGTTGCTGTTTGCGTTGTTGCGTGTTGTGTTTATTAGGTTGTACACATGTGTGCTTATTTTGTTTGCTAAATATTGCTTAATTAGAAGCAGCGCAGAAATTAAGCACAAGCGCTCAATTTACTTTTCAAACATGCTTACACATATATTATACATATATGTATATTCATATCTTTATGTTTACGTGTTTACTTTGCCATAAAACAGATCCCGACAAACATACGTATAATCTGTCAGTAACTTCCGCTTAATGAATGAGCTGCAACAACGGAGGAGCAATACATTAAATGAAGTGAAAATTATGAATGGAAACCCCGAAAAGCTCGCACATTTGCGCTGATTAATGCTATACATATAGATGTGCATATATACACTTGTCTCTCATTGTAATCGCAAAAGCAAAAACCAAGACAAAACCATGCGGAAAATTAGTAAGAGCGTAAGTGACAAATGTGTCACACCATGCAGCGCTCTGCCGCAATGATCTTTTTCATCGTCTCCGTTTTTAATTTAATCAATCATACGACATGTCGGCCAGCAGCGGCGTTTAGACGGAAGAGTAGGGCATATGTACCATAAATAACAAATACTAACGTGAATAAAGAAAGGCTTTAAAAATGGCTAGTTTAACAGTTAGTTTACGCCTTCGCATAAGAAATTATATTTCTACGTTGCTGTATAGCTGAATTCCAATTTTCCACCAATTATAATTCTAGACTCATCCTTAATGTTTAAGTACTAAATAAAACGAAGTTTTTTACCACTTTTTCTCCATAAAATTCGAGAAACAAATACTCTTAAGAAGCACCCTAAAGCTTACTACTGATTGCATGGTAAAATGATTAAAATTGACTGCAAAACTAGATTTTCAGGCTTTTGGATGGCCCAATTCGGACAACAAGCAACAAGGTGTTCCAGGCATTTTTTTTTTGGGAAATTTCGGCCTTATAATGAAGGAGGGTTTCTTTCGATAGTTCAAATGAAATTGAGCATTTCAACGTCGCAGGGAAATTCCATTTAGTGATCAACGTGCAATTTTGACTAACACGATTGTACTTGATGGATATAATTGTAACAAAATGTTTCTTTTATTATTATTTCTCAATAACGTAATTGTAATTTTGAGCAATGAAGTCTCGTACAGACGTCTAAATTATATATGTGTCAAAAGAAAAAGTTTTGAGTATTAAATTGCAGATTTTAAGTAGCAAATAATCGAGAAGGTGCACTGTATGAAATCGATCACACCCTTAGACATTATTTAAAATAATGAATTAATAATATTATATTTCGCTTGTCGTTTGTCGTCCTAGCTCGTAACTAATCACTGCTGTGCGAGAAATCGATTTTTCTACGCTGCTGAATAGCTGAATTCCAATAGGGCTGTAGCTCGTGCTTAGGGCCATAATACAAAATTAGACAAAAAATGCCTATTCATTCCTTTCTTATAAAATTTGAGGATTACCCCTGCCCCTTAGTTCTGCGTGACTGGTAGGTTTGCTAAATTTGGCAGCTGAACTGGATTTTACAGGTTTTCGATGCCCTTGAATTATGCTGAAACCCTTACTACAGGTCAGCATACTGTGGTTATGCATGCAGATTATTTACATTTCACCAGGACCTTCTTTTGTTCAACTCCCTATTAAGCAAAAGGTTACATTCAATATTTTAAAGTTGCGATAATCACATGGGCATTTATTGACCTACCGATTTGAAATCCAGCCATTCAGTAGCCCTGTAAAAATTGGGTTAAGGAACAACGGTGTAATAATGATCATAAATATTGAATTAGATGGATGAAGCATTACAATAAATTTGATTGACGTTGTATTATTAACCCTCAATAGCGTAATTCGAACTGTTAACTTTAAGAACTTGGACAGACGGTCAAATATTGTACAAAATTAGAAAGTATTCAGTACTCTATTGTATTCTACATTTTAATCGAACGGGTGCACTGAAAGAAGCGGTAAACATTAAGATACGTTATTTTAACCTAAATTGCTGAATTTAAATTTTTTACCAATAGTGATATGACCCGCTCTTGGGGCTAAAGCTGTAAATTAAAAAAATAATACGTTACTCAACTATAAAATAGACACAACATCCTGGCAAACCTCTAATCCTTAATTCAGATTACCTGCTACGATTATTAAAATTTGGCTGCAAAAATTTTGTCGATGCCCCGTGAAGTATGCTACATTATCGGTGCGAATCGTATCCTGCAAATCAATAAAATTCAAATCTGAATATATGGACTTAAAACCCAGGCGATTAGGTAAAATTTTGATATACCGAACGCTCGTCCAGTTCAACACCCCAAAATTTCACAAAAAACGTTTTTGTGGCACATTCCTGCTAATTTTAGGGTGTTTAGTTTGTCTAATCAGCATACAAAAATATATTTATTTTTAAGACGAAAGGGCATAGAAAAATCCAGTTTTGCAGCCAAATTTTTATAATCCTAAAAGGTAATCTGAATTAAGAGAACGGAGGTTGGGCAGTTCGATTTTCTTCGATTTTATAGGGAAATAATAAGAGTAATATTTTGTTTCATTTGCAGTTTTATATCAAAGGATGGCTCATATACTCTTTTAGGTGAAAATTTTGAATTCAACTATTTAGCAGCATAGAAACAAAAAAATTTCACGTAGAACGAACACAATAGAGCACTGAAAATTTCCTAATTTTGCACAAGATTTGGTCGTCTACCATCTACCCATTTTTCAAAATTCGAATTCTCTCTTAACGAAATATTATTTTTACTGGGCTACTGAAGACTGAATTTCAAATCTGGTGAATAGCCCATGCGATTAGCGAAAATTTTAAATATAATATGTAATCCCTTCCCTTTTTCTTATCCGGAAATTTAACATAAGATGTTTTTGGGGCACCTCACAGCTCACCTCTGGTAGGATGTAAATAATCTTTAAAATCAAAAATCAGATAAGCTTATTTGTAGGATGAGTTTCAGCATAATACAGGGGCATCGAAAAATCCAGAAAATCAAGTTCAGTACACAAATTTTAACAATCCTACCAGGCAAGCATAAAACATTAAGAAGCATGGTTTTTCTCCAGATTTTTCTCGAATTTTATGGTGAAGAAATGGCGAGTACATATTTGTATAATTTAAGGAGGAGCTCTATGGTATTTTTATTTATGGTACAAATTTAGAAATCAGCTATGCAGCAGCGTAGAAAATTTGATTTTTCGCTTACAATGCTGAAAAGACAAGAGAAATTATTTTTTTACAATTTTTAATAATGTCTATACTTGTAGATGTGACCCTTTTCATTCACTGCACCCTTTATCTTATTTGATTCGAAAAAGCTGCAACATATTCTATTACTATATCGAGGCTTAATAAAAAACTATAAACGAAATATTTTACTACAGTTTCACCCGTCTCTATTCGAATTTCACTGCTTTGATGGCTAAATTTAAATTGCATATGCGCTTAGCTAATACTTGTATAATGAAAAGGAGCAGTCGTTCTATCCAGGAACTTCGCAAAAAAAAGATACTGTGCTACCTTGCTGCTTACTTCTAAACTTCTGTTAGATTGTCGGCAATTTGCGTACAAAATTCAATTTGCTACTTTGCACGATGCCGATGATAATTTATACTTTGGAGGCATCGACAAACCGGAAAATGTAGTTTTGTAGCCAAAATAAACAATTCAACCAGGCAATCATATGTAAGCTGTTTCCTAAACATTGTTTGGAGGAAGGAATGGCGGTTGGATTTTTTTTTTTTTGTATTAAATTCACAAGACTGATATTTTTATGGGTGGAAGTTTGGAATTCAGTTATTCTGCAGCCTGGGAAAGGTTAGGTTTTGGCTGAATGGTGTGTACTTTCATTTAACTAAAGAATAACTGGCCGAAATGTTATTATTTTACAACTAAAAACGATCTCTAAAATTGTGAACCACAATATATACTTAATTATATATATATGTATATATATATATTTTAAATAAAAAAATTAAATATATATATATTTTAAATAATGTATGGTATGTACATATAGGTATATTGTACATATAAATTTATATAATTCACATAAGTAACCCGTATGCCCGTATATTTTTTCAAACATTTTTATTTACGTTCTAATTTGCAGTTGAGGTTGTGGCGCCACATAATATTGGTTGTTGTCAACAACTTTCAAGCGCAGCAATAAATTAAAAAAAATTGTCTGTATATTTTAGATATTTTATTATCGGAGAATGCGCTTATTGGCTAATTGAGCTTTGAGAATTTTCGATAATTTCGTAACGCGCTTTTTTCAATAGGTCAAGCACGACCACAAACTGTAAAATATTTGAGCTTAAATAATTAAATATGCAAATAGAAGCAATTTATTGATTGTCGTTAAAAATATAAGCAAAATAATTGCCAACGATTACGTCACTCAACGGTAAAAAAAATATTTGTTTGGTTAACAAAATAACTGGTAATTTATAATAAATAATTGGCGTTAATGAATGACTTAGCAGTAGACTGGCTAAAGAAATGAAGCAATGTATGTAGAATTATTGCAGATACTCTTTGTCATTTAAGAATGAACGCAATTTTGTGCAGAACTGTCTTATTTCTTCTAAGTCTATATATTATATGATAAAAATTTAATACAAGAAAATTAAATGGCAAATATATATTAATATAACTAAAAGATATCTAAAACTATACGAAACTGAACATAAATGTGAAGATATTTTTTATTTAAATTTTAAAACTGTTCTAGTAGTAGATTTGCATTTTAATTAATACATTTTTATTTTCTCACTCATTACAGCCACTTCTTTTGTGCGAATAGCAACGTGAGTGCCACTGAATACTAAACGTAAGATGCTTCAACATCCTCCAGCAGCATATACATGCAAGCCACATACATACATATCTGCAAACAGCTGCAAACAACCGACACACAAACATACAAGACGCACATAAAAGTAATAAGTAGATTACACAAAAAACACGATACCACACACACACACACACACATAATTCTCAGTCATTTGTACACACAAATACACACACAGGCAGACATGAGATGAGATTCCTTTGCAAAACAGCCACATAACGGTATGCCACAGCATGCTCTACACACTAACTTATGTAGGTGCAGAGCTGCACTGTGACATGCCTAAATAAAATTAATACAATTTATAAAATAAATAAATATTTTACATATTAATTTCGATAAAAAAAGACGCGAATTTTACATATTTCTACTATAGTATGTATGCATGTATACAAATGTTTTAAGGGTTAAGAAATAATTATACATAACTAAAGATAACTGAGATTGGGAGGAAAAACAACAAAAAAACGCAAAGTCTACAAAATATCGAGAAAAGAAATAAAAATAAAATGCAACAACAACACTCCATTAAAATTAATGCCTAGAAATCAAAATGCGCAAAGTTAACATTCTACAAAACAAAAACAAAAACAAAAAAATTAACTCTAAAATTCAGAAAACAAAATATTATTAAAACAAAACAGATAAAAGTGAATTGAGCTTATGACTTTCATATCTATTAGTTTTTTTTGCTAATGAGAGTAAAAATAAGTTTAACAAAAAGCAAACACTGAAACTATACATTTTCATATACACTTGCAAGAAACAAAAATGAAAATGAAAAAGGAAAATAAAAATAAAAAAGGAAAAAGAAAAAAAAGTTGAAAATATTTAATGAGCATTCAATTTTTTTTTATAAACATATTAAAATAAGAGTTGTGATCATTGATTAAGAAATTTAATATTATTGATACTGATAGCGTTTTACTCGTAACGGCTGCTGAACGCGGCGCGAATGTTAGGGTAAAAACAGTTAATGCTTATAAAGACATTTGCAAACACAAACACATACACGATAATAATCATCGTCATAACAACAATTCTAAAACTACTAAGCAAAGTACATAACATAACAGCGAACTACTTGACGGCGAAACGCATACTGCTTCTACTACATACAAACAAGAAAACTGCTTATTGAAAATTATATTTTTAAATTAAATTAATTTAATTTTTTTATTTTGTAATTTTTTTTTCGTAAATGTAAGCGATTTTATTTAGCATACCTTTTTTTTATAATTTAATTAAAGAAAAAAATAATAGTTTCATATTTAATTTTAGCGCAATTTTTTGATTTTTTGTTTTATAAAAAATGTACGAAACATGATGAAAGTGAAGCGAATTCAACTAATTTTTTTTTGAGTAGAATTTTAGCTTATAATCTCTATTACATAAGCACGGAAAAATATGATTTTTTTCGTAATTAGCCAGTAAGCGCTTTAAAAATAATATATTTGTATTTACTTTAAAATTTATTTTACTTTTTTTAGTTGTAATTTTAATTATTTGACATACATATAAATTAATATATATAAAAAGAAAGACTCAGAAGCAATAACGGTAAATATATATGTATAAGAATGTATAAAGGCGACGATATAACAAAAAATGTGGGTAGCATGCAAACCAGCTGGCCTTGTTTTTATAGCAAGCGCAAGCTGAGAAGTGCGAATTTTGGAGATATGCTATTTTTTGTTAATAGAACGATAAATACATTTTAAATATACACATATACATATATTTTTAGATAATAATTAAGTTAATTATTATGAAAGACGAACATTTGAATAAAGAAGAACAACTGAATTTCAATACTAAACGCATGTGCTATTTATTTACTTGATGTTTAGATAAAATTTTAATGTCAAAATAAGATTTTCAAAAAAATGTCCACCTGGATGGTTGACCGAATTAAAATTAATCTAACAATGTTAACTTCGGTTGCAGTTTGCATATAAAATACACTTCACAGGTGCATTTGTAGCTTAAATGGTTATAAAAAGATCTTGATTTTGATCGGTCAGTATGAATGGTAGCTATATGCTATAGTGGTCCGATCTGAAGAATTTGTTCGGAGGTTATAGCGATGTATTGGAGAATAATCTATGCCAAGTTGAGCGAATATATCTTGTCAATTAAAAAGATTTTGCATATAAGAACTTTATTTAAATCGCTCAGTTTGTATGACAGCTATATGCTATAGTGGTCCATTATCAGCAGTTCTGACCAATGAGCAGCTTCTTGGAAACAAAAGAAAGTGTACAAAATTTCAGATCGATATGGCAAGAACTGAAAGACTAAATCGCATACATACAGGCCAACGGACGGACATAGCTCGTCACGCTGATTATTTATATAAATATGCTTTATAAATCTGCGACGTTTGCTTCTGGGGGTTAAACATTGTGGCAAACTTAATATCCCATTTTAAGGGCATAAACATTTCTGTGACACCTTGCACTTCTGTGGCATCGAAAAAACGAAAAAGCCTGGCTATAAATCGATTTTTTCGAGGTGGCTGAAAGCTGGAATTCAGATGCTGTGACTAAAATATGAACTATTGGAAAGAAAAACTCCAAATAACAAGCATTCCCACGAAATTTAACAAAAAGAGTTTCTGTTACATCTGCAATTACAAAAATTGGATTGAAGGATGCGCTTCGCAACGGGTAATGTAACATACTTTAGGGAGTGTTAATTGACCCGAAAAATCGGTTTTATAGAGATTTTTTAACTATTGTAGCATACATCTATTAGTAATGTGTAGGGTGCTTCCCAAGTTTATTATTAAGGGAAAAGAGTGGTGGAGGAGATTAATCAAGATAAGAATTCATAAAAAGTGGATGATCTACATCACATCAACTATTCAGCAGCGTACAATAGAAGATCGACTTTTCACACAACGGTGTGTAATCCTCTAGTAATCACAAGCAACAAGGAGAATACACACAAGAGAGTGTTTTTTTAAAGTGGATCAGTGCGAGTCAAATTTGATTAGATGGTATATGGGTGTATAATCTTGTCACACATTGCAGTTCACTTCTGGGTACCTGGTAGAATGTAAACAATTGCATGCAACAATTAATTTGACTGATTTGCAGCATCAACTCTAGCAACAGGTAATGTAACATACTTAGGGGCAAATGGTTTTCAGAGATAACTATTCTACGTATACTAATCATCCAGCAGGATTTTTTTTTGGAATTTATAAAGAAGGAGCGGCGGAGATTTTCACTATTACAATTTATCTGTGTCTCTTTCCATAAAATTTGTAATTCAAATCGAGTTTTCAGACAGTTGAAAGTTTTTTCGGAATTTTATTTTTAATATTTAAATATAAGAAAGGCTTTTACATTACAAAAAATCAAAGGATGTGCGCCAAAGATTTTAAAGACAACTTTACAAATCAAAAATCAAAAAATTACTTCCTTTTCGTGCCCTTATGCTATATTTGAAATCGACTAGTGATTTGTGTAATGAAATATTTTGTTTACTTTTGTATCGCTTGTGCCCAAGCACGCATTACATCAAATTAGTGCATTCGGAGCGTTATCTCCAATAAAGACAAAAACCCGACAAAAGAAAACAAAAACAAATATCACATTCACGGCGGCAAGCATGCGCCGTCACTCATACTGTCAAAAAAAACAAAAACAAAAACAAACTCATAATAAATATCAAAAAAAGTAGCGAGCGGTGCGAGCAAAGCGCTAGAAATATTATACAACAAATACAAACAAAGTTATGTAGATATGCGATTTTATCTCGCCACAACGTGCGGCAATGCATCACATTGCGATATTTGATCTTTACGTGAGACCAAACAATTGTGGACACCAAGTGGAGAGGAAGGAGCAAGAATTGCATATTGGTATCAACTCTCAAGTGTACACTTACACAATATAACTAAATGCAACTGATTATATATTCATTTAAAGTACAGTAGAAAATAATATTTTTTTGTATGTGTGTGTGTGTGTGTGTACTTACATATATTCGTATATCTGTATCTGTTTATTTGCGCCTGCGGTCATGTTGACGTGACGTTTCATCTTCCTGGCGACGGCACGTAATCCATATCAGAATTCATAATCCCGTCCAATAAAGTAAAGTCCAGCGCTGGGAGACAGTCTGCTTATGACATTTGTAGGTGTACACGTGTTGCAATAAGAAATTATTCGAATAAGGAACGTTTTATTTTTTGGTATTATTTATCTTTTAGAGTTTATAATTTGTGCGTTTTTTTTATTTGTATATTTTTTTTGTGTGCTTTTATTTGTTTTATTTTTTTTTTAGTTATGTAAACAAATTTTTAAAGTAAATATGTAATAAGTTTTGAGCAGTTAGGGATGTTCTTATTGAAAATTTATAACTTATGAGTCGAGATTGGATGTTAGCACTATCAGAGATGCACTGAGCTATTGACCCTATCATTGTTGCGGGTAGAGCAAATAATATTTCTATTTTTTCTCTGCGAAAATATAACATTTAATTAAATTCTAATTAATAAGTCCTCTATAGAAGCTATTTTTTCAGACTATTACTAAATTATTTTATCTATATATATAGAAGGAGGTGTATTCTATGAAATCGATAGACTCAGAAACTCTTTGATCGATAATTATTAAAATTAGTATGTACATGTATTTTTTCACGGAGAAGACGATTATGCTATCCCCATTAACCCCGTAACTCACCACCCGAAACTTGATTTTGAGTTATGAGGTCTTAGTGGATTTATGAACATGAGAAAAACGCTTTCTAAGTACAGTCATGATGATATAATAAAATATTTAACAATATACAGGTGTATTCAAATATATTATAAACTCCGAAACGGCTAGACCGATTTCAATGAATTTATCGGACGATCTTCAAGATAGTCCAGCGAGTGGTCCTGCTTTAGTAGCGATCGAAAGATTAAATTTTTTTTAATGTTTACGACCATTTACTAACTGCAACCAAATACAAAATGCCCTAAACTGCCAGACAATTTCAGCACTATTGTACACGGACAAGATTATTTAGTTGGTCGTATTTTCCCAGATGCACAAAATAATAACTTAAATCATAACTGGCTTGGGAATCGAGCTATATAGACAGTAAAAAATTAAGAAATTAATTTTTATAACAAACTTAAACTAAATTAAATAGCTTACTTAGCCACCGCAAGGTGTGGCCTGGCTAGTACGATATATATACTTTTATTTTTGAATATTAATAAACCACCCTAATACTCGGCAATACGTATTTTTCATTATACTATAAAGTGTGTTGAACTTTATGAATTTCAATATTTGTTTGCTTATTTGACTTTTAACTTTACTTTTGAATTACTAAAAGTGTTCAGTGGGAATGTAGGCACTCGCTGATAAGTTGCGCATGCGCATAAGCATGCTTTTTTTTGAAAAAAAGAAAATATATAATACAAAAAAAGTAAATAAATAAGAAGCAGAAACCTGTCATGAGAAGATATGTATATATTTTATGTATAATTTGTAAGAATTTACTACCTAAAAATGTTATTATGGAGATAAGACAATGTTTTCAGCGAACCTCCAAATAAATTTTGGAAAAAGTCACGAAATACAAATAGATAAAGTTTAAAAGTAAGCATAAAATGTAAAAACAATTTTTATAATACAAAGAAGCTTCTGTTTTAGATTTCCCACAGCAGTAATTAACGGCAGAGTTATAGTTTTAGCAAATATCAGTTTTAGAAATTTCAAATTTGGTGGTCGTCTGGAGGCATTTTCTTGCTGCGTGTATAAATGCAATGAAAATATTATATTTAGTTATTTAAAAGCATAATATGGCATCTCAGGAAAAAATGCGGGGAGCCAAGTCTGCTTAATGATATTTTATGTTTGGCAAAAAATAAGTTCCGAGCATAAAATGAACAAGCATATTGATATTCCTTATAGGTATATATATATTTTTTTTCCACGAGATCTAAATGACTTATTCCTCTGGCGTGTTGTGTTAATGCAAGTTAAACGTTTGGGCATCTCTCGAATTAAATTCATTCAGATTTCAAACGAAGGCATCTATTTAGTAATTTCGTGAGAGAGATAGATTAGTGCATTTAAACTGGGCGAGTTAACCGAATCGATAATTTTTTTTTTGTTTTCCTGCAAAACCTCTTTATGTTAGCTTGAAGTTTAATCTCCATATGTCAATTAGTGGGGGTTTGGCAGCTTGTTTGTTTACGACGGGAAAGATTTGTCTGGTGATTTTTGCCGTTGAAAAAAATTGGCAGCGCTTTTGCTAGAAACTTTGAGTAACCAATGGATACAATGGAGTCATGGCTACGCAGTTGTCGAAAATGTTGCAGAAGTGTTTTGAGGAGTATACTTTTTTACCAATACGAATATTTCAGCGGCACAAAGCATTGAGTGAATGTTGTGAAGTCATCGAAAACTTGTCTCATGCGAGTCGTTCATCCACCTCCATTAATGACGATAGCATCGAAAAAGTTAAAGATGCAGAGCTTGAAAATCGTCATGTTGACATCAGAGAGATAGCAGAGGATTTCAACATCTCTTATGAATTAACTAAACACAGTTTGGCTAACTTTTTGAGTATGAAGCGTTACAATGCTAGACTCGTACCAAAAGACATGAATCTTTTGCAAGAACGACGTCTGGTAACGGGACATGGGTTTGTGAATATGAAGGCCAAATTATTCCAGAATCTAGCGTATGACGCTCCAAACGAGCCACGAGAGTCATCGCTCAGCCAATATAGTCACCATATTTGGCTCCCCGTGATTTTTATTTCTGCTTTCGAAACTGAAAAATCCGTGTCGGGGAACGCGCC